AATAACGACTTACCTTAATGTTGTAACCTACAGCTAATAGATATCGAAGAAGCAGAAAGGGCAATAAGCTCTGCCGAGACAGAATTAGCAGCAAAGAAATATGATGATTGCATAACACATGTGACCGTTGCAATCAAAATATGCCCACAATCCCCTCAACTGCGACTAATTCGTGCCAAATGTCACTTGGCTAAATATGAAATCGAAGACGGTATTAGAGATCTTAGGTACATATATATCACATTCCATTCATTGAATTTTATCCTCTCTCTTATTTCATTAAACGCTAATCGTACTTTCCTCTCAGCCAAGCGTCAGCACTGAATCCCTCAGATCTCGACACGCTTGTCCGCTTGGCCAAGCTGAATTATTTTGTTCTCTACAGTCCGACTGAAGCCAAAGCATTCATAAAGCAGTGTTTGCAGAGTGATCCCGATAATGAATTGTGTAGACAGCTGCACAAAACAATAAAAAAATCAGAGAAAGACTTTGAAATGATTGGCAATGATATAACCGGCCACAGGTGGCAGGCAGCTGTAAATAAGATAAAGGGGAAGAACGGTAACAAGGGATTTTTGAGTCAGATCGAAGAAGAAGGACGCTCAATACCCGAGGCGAAAAGCAGCAAGGTTTTGGTGGCCAAATTATACAGGTATCTGTGTATAGCATATGCCGAGGTTAGTTATGAATGAATCTTTAGAACCAATGCTACTTCCTCGTTACTTTTTTTTTTTTTTTTACTACCATACTCAAAAATTTTTTTGTTTTCGTGCATAGCTCAAACAAGCCGATCTTGCCATCAAATGGTGTACTTCGACTTTGAAACTATCCGAAGATGACGTGGAGGTGCTTTTAAGTCGTGCCGAAGCTTACATACTAAATGATAACTTTGACTCTGCGAGTACTGACTATAGTAAGGCATTTGATGCCTCGGGTGGAACAGACCAACGTGCTGCTCAAGGTTTCCAACGTGTCAACAAATTGCGTCAGAACGCAAAGAAGAAGGATTATTATAAGATACTTGGAGTAACTAGGTTGGCTACTAAAAAGGAAATTAAGAAAGCGTTTAGGAAGTTGGCACAAGAATGGCATCCCGATAAATACAAAGGCGATCTATCACAAGATGAAGTTGCAACAAAAATGAGTGCTATTAATGAGGCGTATGAAGTTCTATCAAACGATGGTAAGAATTAATAATTATAGTTGTTTCATTACATCGATAATTGGTCTTTTCTAACACTCGTTTCAATTTTTTTAATTGCTAGAATTACGAGAACGTTATGACAATGGTGATGATCCCAACGAACCAGGTGGTTCTTCCGGAGGCCCGTTCTATTCATCTGGAAGTCCATTTATGCAATTTGGCGGAGCCAAGTTTTCCGGATTTCCTTTTAGTTCCGGCGACGATGGAAATTTCCAATTTACATTTAGATTTCCTTAAAGAGACATTGTAATTAGACAAAGGACTGTAAATTCAAATGATTTAGACAAATAATGTGAAGTTTCTTTAACCTAAAGGCTATTCTTCATCGACGTTGTAAACGTGTTAATGTAAAGACACAAGTTGCATCATGGGAGTAATTGACACATTAATATTAACAAGCGATGAAGCGGAGCAATTACCGTTATGATCACTGTATACAGAAGATTGCTTAACAATATAGCTAATAGCCGATAAAGTTGAGTTAAGGTTACGAAAAATATTAGATGAACATTAATATTTATTGCAAAAGTGCACTTTCAACACACCTTAGTAAAATGAACGTAATGTCACCATAGTGAACAGAGTCGATAAAGCATATAAAGTTTACATTTGAGTGACTCGTTTAGATAGTCTTAATGTTTATTTGTTTAACAATTTCAGCATATCTGCAATCTCGTAACTAAGAAATTAACCATAGCCGCTTCATTTTGAACCTCAACGTGCCAATTTTTCGTCTAATAAATTTTCTATACTCCAACATTGAACAAAATACCCCCCGATCCACCACCACCACCAGCCTGACTTGCCGGCAAGTAAGCAACATTCTTCGATCCAGCTAGCGTTCCAGCAATCTCTCTTGATGCTTCGATCCTACGAAGAAGCACAAGACCTTCCCCTGCCTTATCAAGCGCTTTAGAAATCCTATCTGCTGCTTCAGCTTCACCCTCGGCTCGAATAACTGCTGCTTGTTTCTCTTGTTCGGCCTGTTGAAAAAAGTTTTTAGATCGAGTTAATAACACATTACCAACGCAATAAAATGGAATTTACAGTTCGTACCAACCTTTTCAACGATAAACCTGGCTCTCTCTGCTTCTTGCTGGGCTATTTGTTTCTGCTCAACGGCATTTGTGAATTCTTTTCCAAATGTCATGTGTGTCTGTATTGGCAGTTGTGACAGGCAGGAGTTAAATTTCACATGAACTGGGCCAGCTGAATACGTAATTCAATATACTTACAATCGAAACGTCTTCCAATTCAATCCTGAATTCACGAGCACGCTTTACTAGATCCTCACGTATTCTTGATGAGACCTAACATTAGCGTCAAAACGATTCCCTCAACCAAGTAAGATTCTCAATCGCTCTCTTCTTTGCGACCGTATCCAAAAAACAAAGAATACTTACAACTTCTCTCTGAGTGATTAGCTCACCAGCATCAAATTGCGCCACCACACTCTTCAGCACCTCGTTTCCGATACTAGGCAACACTCTCTCATCATAGTCCATGCCCAGGGATTGATAGATCGCGGGCAATTGACCAATATTCGGGCGATGCAAGACACGCAATGTTAAACTGACCATTTGCATGTCCTTTGATCCGGTTGTGGTAGAAATGTTACGTGGCTTTGTGCGAATGTCAAAAATCACGGCGCGGTGCAGCCAAGGAACAAGAAGATGTGTGCCTTCTCCAACGGGATTGGGTTTTACACCTTTTAAACGATCAAAGATTACTGCGCGATGGCCACCTTGGACTGTTAATGGAGCAAGAAAGAGTTGGTTTTTTTTTCAAGAGCCGAAAGTTAGAATGGGATATGATGTGATTATTTGACATCTTTTAGATTTTTGTGTGAAATGAGATATCCTTGAAAGTTATATGCTGCCCAGACATGTGTGAAGGTTACTTTACCGTCATAAATGCTGTATTGAAACAAACTGATGCCAGCACCAATAGGAATGGCAACTTTTGCTATTTTTTCGAGTATTGCAGACATGATAGTTTCTTTTGTTGAGATTCTTTCTGATCTCCAAAATTTATCCTGATTGTCACGTGGAAATCTATACACATGATTGGGCGGTTTACGTGTATTAAGAAACTTGGAGTTGCTGCACGATTTGTAAGTTATATAAACTTTAAACTACAATGACATCTGATGTGATACCCCAGTAGCCCCAAGTTTTATTGGCTTCTGTATTTAGTATTACACCTCCCGCCAGTTAAACTTATTCCATGTTTAATTAAACTACGATGACCACTGATTCTGTATCAATCACGCGATATTAATATGATACTTCGTAATCGTACGATTGTCTACTAAATAAAGATAGTAAAAAGCATAGTTGGACAGGAATATAACGACAGAAATATTTTGATCAAGGACTCTTTGGTCTAATTTTAGCTGACAGTTACTCATTAAGAAAATTGAAATAGGTGGGTATGCATTTATGAAATAATACATGAAATTCGATTTTGCAAATTCGTCAAGGCAAACCATCAACAATCGTTGATATATTATTGTCCTCCCAAGCAAAGTCTACGTTCTGTAGTCACACTACGTTACAAGCATATCACTTTGGCACAACACAAAAATATTATGGGAGCAAATCAACCAAACTTTTTCGTGTTTAATAGTTCGCGTCGGTTTTTATTTCCCACAGTTCAAAAGAATGCTAATAGAATACTGTATGTTTGATTTAAGAAAGGATGGAAGGAGAAAATTACCGTTAAAGAATTTTCAACATTCAAACATTAAGTATTTGTCTATTGAAAAAAAATAATCCAAAGTTTAGAAGACACAGGTCACGCTTGTGTTGTCATGCTTGCGCATTATCGTTCGAATCATTACAATTGTGACGACAAGATTGTGTTTACCATGTGAGTTCAGATCACATTCCATGTCATCTGTCTGTATCAGCGTCATGCCATTACAATTTATCATGAACCAAGATCGCGTTTGTCTCATCAAGTTTTGTAACAATAGATTCCATGTTCGCATCGTCTAGCAAATAGTCAACTGTTACCCGTATCCAGTCTGAGAAGAGGACGTAAAGAAGATCAGGTATGCGCTTTTTAATCTATCTTGCAATAAAGTAAACGCTGCATTATGTCACACATCTGAAAATAATTGTGATGCGAGCATGGTATATTAAAAATATATGTAAAGTCGAAAATAAATTCGGTAATTAACTAGTCTGCACTTGCCCAAGCTGTTGATTATTAAGTGTATTGAAATATAACAATTGATGAAACAATGTTTATCAGGAGGAAATGATTTAATTCTTCTATATATTGTAAATTATCTCTTACTCTCGTAGTAAGATTGCGAATATTACTTGGTGACATAAGCCTTAATTCTACAGTTTGTTAACGCCTTTAGACTTTTGAAATTATTCCTCACTCAAGGCTTATTTATTTGCCGTCCGCTTTCTATATATCAGACTAAATTTCTCTCACAATGGTTATTTCTAATAAAAGAGATACGCGCTTATAGCAACTACCAACAAAGGTATATACAACATATATACGTATATGTTCTGATCCAAAATGTGACCCGGTTCTGAACTGGGTCGGGTCAACCCAATTCATGGTGACATCTATTTCCCGTAAATTTATGCGGGAGAAGTTGTACAAAGAGTGAAAGCTACGAAAGACCGTAAAACACGCTTTTGTATTAGTATATACTGTTAAACTAATAATTATATCCTATCATTTTATAGAAAAAGCGTGGCATATATGTTTATCGTATAAACAAACAATCAATAAGTTAGAGGCACAACATAAACAAGAACTTAAGGGAGCTATGCGTGAATTACTCGCTTTCCTTGCAAAGAAGATTAGAGAGAACGGTGAGTCGTATAGAAAGACAATTAAGAAAGTCATGAGCAAATTGGGAGTAAACAATTGTATACAGAGAGAGGAAGAAGTGAATTAAGTTACTGCAATGTACGTATGCACATGATTATTTCTTTTATTTACGGTTACTGTTAAACGTGCTAGACACATGCGCGCGTGAGTATAACTTTCACTTACATTCAATATTACACCCAACACCACCTTCACTAGTCGAAACGCCTTCTCAAACGACCTCACGAAAACCCGCTTTTTCCTCGAGATCAGTTACTCAGACTCCTGTCATGGAGAACGAAGGCATCAAGTAAATTAAGAACGCTGCTGGGACAGCTGGAATAGAACGAGAAACTAATGCTAATACGACTATAGCGAGCGCGAAGTCATCACCTGGTTTTATTGGAGAGTTGCACACAACATGACTAAGGCTGAGTTATGGTGGAAGTTATTGACTTTAGCCTTTGAAGATATACAAAAACCATCACACCCAGCCATCCGCTAGGTAACGAAAGTGCAATGTTTTGGAACAAAGTCTAATAGGTCAACTTATTTTCATTATGTTTTACCATTACCTCAAGTGATTAATTCCGTTAAACGGTCCGCTTCTCTCCCTAACACTCTTAAATACGAGGTATGTTTCAAAACGAGTGATTGGTTTTTTAAGGATCGTTTTTTAATACACTCTACCTTCCAGCGTATAGAAGATATGCGAGAAATTTTAATACGGTAAGGATACGTATCATACCTTGCCTCGTTTTAATGGTCACTTGACACATTGTACTCCAATGAAATGGTAAGCCACTGGATATACATTCACAAAATAAAACACGTGATATTAAAAGGAGATGAGATGACATTTTATTGGCCATTATTATTTGATTATCCTAAAAAGGAGGATGGCTAAAGCGGAGTAGAACGTGACCTGATTCTTGCAATTACATTGGTCAAATTTGTATATCAACCAATGAAATTGTAAAAAAACTACTCCGCTTTAGCCTACCCCCTAAAAGGCAACTTTTCCATTCGCTACTCCATTGATTCCAATGGGATGCTCCATTGCCAACAAAATTACTGTGCTACAATTGAGTCAATGGAGCCAATGGAGTCAATGGAAGGCTGGTCACAATGTATCGTCGCTTTTATCAATATACCATATACCGTATTCTTCCGAAAATAAGCAACACTTTTTTGTTATAGTGTTGCTTATTTTCGAGTAGTTTAAGAAATTCCCGCTGAATCATGTGATTTCTGTCGATAGAATTTCATCTGCATTTATCACGCAATACGCGAAACAGACTTTAAAACTATTCTTCTTCTATACAAATGACAAAACAAAGAGTTATTAATACTATTAAACGTGAGACCCAATTTGTAAAACGAACGCGAAATTCATACTCAGTGTCACATAAAAAGAAGGTCATTGCCTATGCAAAAAACCATGGAAATAACCAAGCAGCAAGACACTTTGACAGTCTTAGTGATGTATGTTTATGGGTGAAACGTTCATGGGAGGGTATTTCTATCGATATAATTGTTAAGTCCTTTAAAACGTGTAATATTTCAAACGATTTGGACTCTGATGATGTCAGCGACAATGATGATGTTAATGATGATCATGATGACGATAATACCACTGACTCCGTCATTGGCGAGGATGATATCATTGACATCATTGATGAGACGGATTAATCATTTTCTTTATTGTAATAATAATAAAATAAAATAATATTCTGAAGTGTTGCTTATTTTCGGAAGAATATGGTAAATGCAAATATTGACATAACAAGCAATGCAATTACCGTGAAACTAATACTGAAGTTAGCGCATCTAATGTACAACATATTTACAAAAAGAATTGTAGTGTGTCAGCTAGTAATATGATAATATTTATATATAGCTAACGTTTTGTGTTACCGAAAAAGTTAAAATCAAGCTAAACGACCTAACACTAAAAGTTTAAAAATGTTTAAACACCGGTTCCACATAATAAATGCGGGAGCTGATGCTGAAATCCGGCTGCTAACCAATGGGGTTAGAGAATAAAATCTGATCAACCAATGAAAGGTCATGGTTTCAGATTTCATCATCAGCCGTGACAATTAAATTTACATTCATTTGAAAGCGTAAACAAACTGCTATTGAATGTAAAAAAGTTTAACCGGATAGCTTGCTTTGTTGTTGAGAAACTAGAGCCCAAGTTTATTTTTATTTATCTGCACCTTTAACGACTTCGGATCATTGTTGACAATGCTCCGAAATCACTTTTCCATGCATGTGATAATCATAATGCAATCTACATCTAGGCCGCAAACATTAGCCTATACACTTAGATTTTTTAGTAGAAAATGACTGAACGACAAGAGCTTACTGAGTTTGAACGTGGTCTTATTATAGGAGGGTTATCTATTTGGTCATCAGAACGAGAGATTGAGGAAAGAAAATGGAAAATCCTGTAACTGGCCATCCAAAGTCAACAATACATGATACTATAGAAAGGTATTGTGAAACTAGTACAGTGACTCCTGCTCCATGCAGGAGCTGACAGACAGAGATAAGCGACATCTTGAAATAGTTGTTTGAACCAATCGCCGACAGACTATTAAACAAGCTTTGTCCAATCAACTGGAACTGCTGTTAGTGAATCGACAGTAAAACGAGCTTTGTATGATTCGCTCGAAAACCACTTATTTCAACGAAAAACAAGAAAGATCGAGTACAGTGGTGTCGAGAACATCGAGAATGCACTGCAGATGATTGGAAAAAAGTAATATGGAGTGATGAATCTCCTTTACTCTGTTTGAAAATGATGGCAAAGCCCGGGTGTGGAGACTTCCGAAAGAAGATATGACATTGTGGCAACTAAATATTAATAAATATTTTTATTTACGAACATAAATAAATGTGTTTCAAGCATTAAATATTCAATAAAGTTTTTTTTTAAAAAAATTTTTGTTAAATTTTAATAACAAATTTGTTTTCTCAACAACAAAGCAAGCTATCCGGTTAAACTTTTTTACATTCAATAGCAGTTTGTTTACGCTTTCAAATGAATGTAAATGTGTGTATATTTATTATGTTTAAACAATTTTAAACTTTTAGGTCGTATAGCTTGATATTAACTTTTTCGGTAACACAAAACGTTAGCTATATAAATATTATCATGTTACTAGCTGACACACTGCAATTTTTTGTAAATATGTTGTACATTAGATGCGCTAACTTCAGTATTAGTTTCACGGTAATTGCATTGCCAATATTTGCATTTAATTGCCGACTATCGAATAGTACCCTAGATTTAAAATTTGATTTCTCAACGAAGAAGCAAGATATTTGGGTAATATTTTATAAATACGATAGCGCTTCTTTTGCACTTTCAAATGAGTGTAACTGAGTGTAAATTAATATGTGGATTGATTTTTACCGATTTTTTAAATATTCGTGTCGCACAACCTAAATTTACCTTTTTCGTAGGATAAAAGTCGGCTCTAGGTAAATTCGTAATTTTGTTACCTAATTTTTTGTGTATATACAGTCAACCCTCTCTAAATGCACACTCTCTAAATGCACACCCTCTCTAAATGCACGCCATACTTTATTCCCAAGCTCGGGAATTAGAGCTAAATGCACGGTTTTTTCCATTTTCCATCATATGTATCTCACCCTCTCTAAATGCACGCCCGCGATTTTCATGTGATTCGTACTATGTTACATTTGATGTCTAGGAGATGATTGGATACTCTAAATTTAATGTCGGACAAACGACAAAAAGGGCAATGTCATCATTTTAATGACAAAGAACAAGGATCAATTCCTATCAGGCCAAGAATTGTGATCATTAAGCAGCTTTCTTCTGAATCTTTGTCTTAAGTTCAGTAACAAACAGATAAGAATTACCTGGAAGCATAAAGTATTACTTTGTTAAACCTAGACTCATCTTTGTCCATCGCTAATACATAATAATAGACGCTTAAAGAATCTGTAAATGATCTATAGTCTGCCGATTGATGAGTTCTTAAATCATCCTGAAGAAGGAAGAACTTATGAAGTGCATGACACTAATACGTTGATTGAAGAGCTTATTGAAATATACAAACAACCATGTATTGGTGGTGACATTGATGATGGTGATTTTGATGATAGTGTTGAGCCACCGATAGTTAATGCAAATGGTTTAGAAACTGTTCGTTCATTTCTGCAGCAACAACAAGACTCTAAAGAGTTGCTAAAACATGTGAGAGTGCTTGAATGTTACATTGGTTTAAAGTCAGCGATATAATGAAGCAAACAACGATAGATGAATTTTTCGATAATATTAATTGAATAAACATACTATATCGAGTCACGTGCAACCAATAAAATTCGACCCTCTGTAAATGCACCCCTCTCTAAATGCATCATTCCCAAGGGCGTGCATTTAGAGGGTTGACCGTACTATCTAGAAGGTGCGCTAAATTCAGTATTAATTTTGCGGTGATTGCATTGCTCGTTGTGTCAATATTCGCAAATGTAAGGGGTGGTCGGTACGGGAGTGTATTAGGTAATAAACTATCAGTGAGGGGTGCTAATACAGTAATAGCAGTAATCATTCCAATTCAGAACATGTGATACAGGTATGAAATTCGGAAGTTCCCACTGAAAGTACAAGTTACCAAACCCTACTTACTTTAGACATTGGTTGAATTCTATTATGCTGCAGACAGAAATTTTCGCCAGAGGCCTATTAGGGATAACTTCTTGGACGCTTATCGTAGGGGTTCTCTTATTTAGCTATGCTTATCTCATTCGGCTTGGGAGAACAACTACAAGGTTTGTCGGATACTTTCGTAGAGTAACAAGAATGCTTTGCTTACCCAATGCTAGAATGATTAAGAATATGTAATGTCGAAGTAGCAAGGCTCTACGGGGAATACGAGCTAATGCCACCAACATTAGAGAGTACGTTGACGGCTTAGTTGCCGATCCTCTCGCTGCTAGGAAGAACCTGGAATTTTGGCAAGAAGTATGTCTTCCTATGCGGTTTTCTCTTCTGAAATTGATCTTATATCTAAAGACAATGACTGCTTTTAATTAGGTTTACACGGTTACATTGAATGATGGCCAAAAACTCATTGTGAAAAGATCGGCTTACAGGTATATTATTCGATTGCGTCTCTAATGGTGGCTTTATTACATGATCTAATCGAACATTATGATTTTAGAATTAATTATTTTCGTATTTGGATTCAAGAACGGGGTTTTTGGTGGCTGGTCAGACATAATACTCGTAACGCCACAGTTGCTTCGAGGTAACGTATACGATTGATTTTTATACGGACTGATTTACACTGCATACCACAACGACTCCATTACTAAACGTTGATGTGACTTGTCAGCGTGGAACAAGCCGCCTTAGCGGATATTTATTTAAAGGCATGTGATCATGGTTCTCGGTGCTATGGACTACAAGTAATAATATCCAAAGCACTGAAGACCTACATAGAAAACGCCGTTCCTCCTTTGAAACCACGCGAACAGGTATGTAATCGCACGAATGCAAAAATATACGAATTTGTTTACAATGCTAAGCGAGACATTTTAATTAGATGGAATTCGCAATCAATTTTTTAAGAGGAGTTGGCTATTTTCATTCGAAAAAAATTCCAATGATGAATCTTAGTTGGGAGGATAGAAATTTTGCCGAGATATTGTCCAAGGTTGGGACTGTACTTCCGTGGGAACAGTACAGTATTATAGTTACGGTGAGACATGATGCTGGTATAATCGTCTCATTAGACATCAACCTCAAAGGTATATATACATGGGACACAATTGTTGACATATACATCCAACTGTAGCGTCTTGTTAAGTCATATATTACATGTAGGTCGTATTAAGCTCTTGAGAGATCGAGCTAAATACGAATTTGACGAAGCGCTCGCTCGTATCCGGAAGCGGCTGAGAAACTTCACGATAGACTCCTCCTCAGATGAAGAAGAGAACACGAATTGGAACGAAAGGACGAAGACTATTGATACCAGCGGGGATGAGAAGACTGTTGAAGTTGGTAACAAGATGCACACTTTTTTACATTAATGGATTTAGTAATACTTCATTTCTCAATAAGGTAGAGAATACTAATTCCCTATCGATTATGCAGCGCAACAATTGCTGGAAGAATACAATCGACAACGATTCCAGCAAGGCAAGAATGTTGCCATAAAGCTAACAGAATGTCTTGCTCAACAAGCGAGACGCCCTATTCAGGTACTGACTTATCAGTTTTGATATATATATATATCCTATTACGCATTATTTTTTATACTCATTGCGTTTTATAAGTTATAGGTTGCACTACATGATTCGGCGGTGATACTTTCAAGCGCGTTCGAAAGACGCGTCAAGAAATTGGGTGAAGTTCGCAAGGCACTGGCTGCCCAAGTGCTTGCTTCCAAATTGGGTAACATTGTAAGTGAAAGGCAGATCGATTGTGACGTAGCTGAAATAATTAATCTTACATTGATTCATATTATAGGACGTGAAGTGTTTTGAGCACAACGGGGGCTTCCTCTCCTTTGCTTCTCAGAACAGTTTGCATCGCTATCTTTATGTCCATGGACATGAGTTGGGCCTCGATGGAAACGCAATCTTCATAATGTTTGAGGGTCAATATCGTCCATGGAATGTAAGTATACGATCTCTATTAAATAAATATTTTGTATACCTTCAGCTAATGCTAATAATGAATTATATAGGAAATTCGGCCACTTATACGGTATGCAGAACCTGGTTCGTCTGTAATGGCGGGACAGTATTCGCGCCTTGGGATAATCAATAAGGGAGTCTATGAGTGGACATCCCTGGAGCCTTTTCTTATATCTCCAACCCCACCTCCTTGGGGGAATCGGTACTTATTAGAAATATGTTCCTGGATAGTTGGGAAACCTCGCTTGACGGGAGATCACACATGGTTTCGTTTGAAGACGCCACGTGGGGAATGGTATTCCGTTGGGCAATACCGGCCCTCTAAGGTACGGATGTAACAAATGTTACCTACATCAGTCTTTTGTTACTAATCGATACTGTTCTATTATATAATTAGAGAGGGTTCCACGAGCAGTTCGTCTTTCCTCTTCAGGTAAAGACGAGCAAATTTATGGTGAGCAGAAATGAAACTCGTGTTGATAACAAAAAATCTATGCTAACATCTGTCTTTACGATTTGAATAGTCGCCAGACGTGTCGGTAAGGAAATAACTGTTTAGAGTGGTTCGATATTTTTAATCAATAACTAACTGTTTTTCAGGAGTTCTGGCGGGGGAACTACACTGTTCTAGCCGTGGAAATCACGGTAGGTCGTTGTTGGCAGGCCCGCAGAAGGCTACCATTCTATTTCTGAACTATTTTAACGTCTCTAGGCAGAAGAATTTGAAAAAATAAAACTTAAAGTTGAGGGTGACCAAAGAGATAAGGAACATACATACCAGGTAAATTATCCCTGATTTGCTTGTTATTATTGTATTGTTCTAATCGTATTGCGTATTCTGCGACGAAATTTTGTAGGTGTTCCAATGTAATTGCACCTTTTATGCGCGCGATGTAGCGTTATTGGCAGGTATTGATTTCCCAAGTTCTATGCCAATTATCGGCCTCATCGTCCGTGACGAAGAATTTCTGGAGAAAAGTCGAAGGTTGCTCAATAATCCACATACTCCTCGCTGGGTGAGACCGTTCTTAACTCGGGTGTGGGCCATTTTATTCAATACTTTCGGGTTGTTGTGGGGTTCCGGGGTGATAGACCGGGAGATACGAGAGGACCCGAAATTACAAGATGTAGAGCCGTTTATCAGGGGCTTCAGAGATTTGTCCGACCCACAGAAGGTAAGTAATATTGTGATTGGTATATATTTCGTTATAAGTTTTGAGCGCATAAGAATACTTTTGTAGGTCGTGGCCTATCATCCATTCATACTTGGTCATTACGTTCGGAACGAAGTTGAAAGCTGGCGGAGTGAGAAAATATCAAAACTGCATCTCCAACGAGATGCTCTCGTAAACCTCGAGCCATCATCAGCAAAGACTCGTGCTATTGAAGAAATCGACAAGGTACATTAAAATTTGTGGTTCATTAAAGAAATATAGATGATAGAATTAATTGTATTACGTTGATAGGAAATCGATAACATACAATATGACCTTCCTGAGAAATTTCGTAATCAAGCCTGACTGAGGCTTAAAAAACGGAATGGTTTTCAGAGTACGTGTAAAGTGAGCTATTATAATATAAGTTCAACAGTCATTATTATAATTATTATAATTAAATGTATGAATAAAGAAAGTGACGTTAAAAAAGAGACTTTTCAAGAAGAACCAAAACTCGCAGCTCCTTTCTTAAATTACTACCAATTCTATGCACGCTCCTATTCTGACAATGATAATTTCAATATTGAGTATAGCAACAATTGACTCATGACCAATAAATAATAAACATGTATTTCTGGACGATTCTTACAAAATCCGAACGGTATTATGACACAGCCGAAGGTTATGCAGATCACGGTAAAAGGGACTATCGCGAGGGACTTTTTAGTCTCTTAATAACTACTATCCGCGAGGGACTTTTATTCACAACAAGGTGCTCGCTAAAGCCCAGTTTGAGCTGTTTTTATCTATGCAGAGGAAGAGAATAAAGCCCTATATTTGGCATATATTTATGTTAGGGGAAGGGGGGATGTGTGGGTCTATTTGTAAATCTAGAGTACGGAGAAAGAGAAGGCGTCCTAGGATTGATCAAGTATGTGTGAGATGGATAGTGTGGGATTGTGCTCAAAGGCTCTAGATGTGAAGGCATTCCATATTGTGAGCATGGCTGCAGATTGGAGAGAGCGGAAAAGACGGAGTTGTTGAGGGGTGAGGGAGGTGGGATTTGTGGGATATTTTGGCCGTTGCCAGGTGGCAAGCCAAAGGAGGTCAGAAGCTGCTCGATAGCGATCTGTATGGGAGATCTCTCTCCATGAAACTGGACCAATTGGAGGAAGTACAAGTAAGGCAGGATTGTTGCATGGTTGTGGACGGAGGATGTTGCGGAGAGTATGAAGAGATGGAAATGAGGAGATTGTTTGCTTGACTACTTTCAACCTTCCGGCAGGCTGTAAAGGCACAATGGCCAGGCGAGTGCTTCGGTGTTGTGTAATGCATTGGGTAATGCTTGTGTGTGTGCGGGTTTGTAGGATATGATTGAAGGCATGTACCCAAAAAGGAGTAGTCTTAGCAAGACGTATTTCCATTTCAATTTTGATAATGGGAGGTGTCCATGTTTATGTTCTGTGTGGAGGGGGGGGGGGAAGGTGCTCGCTACCCCAGTAACTCCAAGATTTTGTTGCGACCACCGTAGACGACATAAAGCGGTATAGGAGAGCTACTGGGGTAGCCATAACTTTATTTTATACTGAAATTGACTGTATTCAAATCGCATAAATCAAATTTATTTTTTCATAGCTGCAAGTCAAGTAAGAAAAAAAGTAAGCATAGTGCGTTCTCACCAGTTTATCGGGTTTATAGTTGGTACTCGCCAACCAAGACAAAGTTTATTCCGTGAATCACAACCATACTCCAATTGGTATATCACGCATATATATGTCGTATATAAATCCCGTCACCATATAAATCCCGTCAAAGAACCCCAAAAAATTGGACGACCTCCCTAAATTTTTTTGCTTATCGCAATTAACCAATTCACTGACAGCCGTTACTGCTTGCAACTATGTAAATATAAGAGATTACTATTATCGTAAAGAAAATTTACTTATTCATATGTAGCATAGCACTGGGATACGAAAGCCGTCGTATAAGTTCCTACCCTCATTTGATGTTACACCTAAGGGCCAACCTCTTTGTAGTGTTGATCGTTGTTATAATATTATCGATATGTCTAATCAAATTCTTTGCTAATAATTGTTGCACCATAGTAATGTCTTTTGTTATAATGAATTGAATTTAGTGGAAATGGCCGAGTTTCCTGAATTAAACGATATACTTTAACATTAAGAGAGGTAGCTAGAGCGCCCAGAGCACAGTTGGTGTTGCATCGAGTAGTGGTAGGTAAATAAGGCGTGCTCGTAAAGGTCATGTACTGATATCGATGCGGTTGCAGAAAACTGAACAGAGATGATGTCACAAAATTAGTGTTAACTGTGAGAATAGGTGAAGCGTTAACCTTACATTAGGATTATTTTAATGTAAACTATCTTTATTATTATATTCGCTGCTTTATGTAATAAATAATTTTTCTTTTCTCAATAAGGGTAAATAGCCAGAACATCGTCAATATTACATGAACGTTAAAGTCATCGTTAATATGTTACATACTTGCGAGATAAGCAAAAAAATTTAGGGGTGATCGTCCAATTTTGGGTTTCTTTGACGGGATTTATATGGTGACGGGATTTATATACGACATATATATATATATATCTTTTTTTTTGTTACAGAGTGATTCAAAATTGACATTATTTAAAATGCTCGGTCGCCAACAGCTCCAGGATGGGGTCTTAAAATTGGGGATTTAGGGTTTTATATGTGTGTATACTATACAGTCAAACCTCGTTATAACGAAGCGGGGTATCGGTAGATCGGGGGTTTCTTTGATTTATCGGGGTATTAAATCATTTCATATAACTAATACAAAGTATAGCTTCTTCTTCTGTGCATTAGCCTGTCTTTCTTAGATTAATATATTTGTCAAGAGCAAGGATTTCCATAACAACTCTTGGGATTATAGTAATAAAACGTGTTGTTGCTTCGTAAAACATGAAAAATTTAAGAATTTTTGTATTGTTAGGAAGCTAATTGTAATTTGCTGAAGTGACAACATATATATTTATTACACATACATTTTATACTGACAGTTCGAATAATAGCTCCATTATAAATGATGCCAATACAGATGTTCGAAAATTTAGATTTTTCACGATTAGCCGTTATTATGGATGTTGCTTATATCGTAGTAATTCAAAAACTTGATGCTATTGATTATGCAAAAACGACGAAAGAAGTGGAATATGCGTGCGCCCTATGATGTTAAATCCCATATGAAACGATTACTCAACCAGTTGTATCCTGATGCAGATGGAACCAAAAAATGAAAGATTGGCTAGAAACGATCTGGGATCTGGCTACGAGCAGAAAATGTGAGTCAAAAAAAGTCTCTTAATATTATTAGCTCAATCTGTAAAGGACAAGTGCCAACAAACGAATACTGGGGCTCAAGTCTGCCATCGGCTTCTTCATTATTGCTATCAATAGGTAAATCAGACTGCTGCCTATATAATTCAAGTTCTTCCGTGCGTGCGTCAGTACCGTGGAACTGTTCCATGCATCAGAACCCAGACAAAACGTAAGAACAGAAAAACGCTCTTATTTACTAGAAAGCGTTACCACCAGTCCCCCCGTATTATTGAATTCCCCCTGATAAGTCGTAATTGGGATTTGTTACATAACTCCGGATAATCAACTTTACGAATCTGTGATTTTTTTGATGCGATAATTAAATTCTTAGTTTGAGTAAAAAGAGTTAATTATAATCAACTCGAACATGTTTTTCTTCAAAAAGCTATTTTAGTACGATCTACCAATTTTAACCAATTATATGACTTATACGATCGCATGGTTGTCACAGTAAGCTCTAAAGTTACCAAAAAGGTTGATGCTTATATTATAATAAAAAACTCTTTTTTCGGAATGCTTTAATTTAAAAATTTCTAATATTCCTCTCCGACTTAACCTTGTAAGCTCACATGACTTGATTAACGATTTTCGTGTCGGGTTACTATTCATGTTACTTAATTTTTCCCGGTATGGATAAGATTTCAAGATAGACCCCAAATCTGCTATCTACCAATGAGATTGGTCAATTACGATACATGTAAATCTATTATGACTATCGCCCGGTCTGAAGGTTCGTTTTTTTCATATGAAATCTCATCAAGTGTATAAATTAAGCCAACTTTAATTCGTCCATTGCAGATCATTTCCCATATATCTAATAATTTCTCGTTAATTCGGACGCTGGATCGTTCCAAAAACAATGCTGGTAAAAAATATCCCAAACAACAGGATAATACAGTCAGTCGTCCCTCTCTACAGTCACCCCGTCTATAAGCACAATTGGAACCGACCGATTTCATAGGACATGGCGGAACCGATAAATAGTAGACAATGAAAATTTACCTCCTTATAGTCACATCACATGATATAAATAAAATGATTGAGAATGATAAAATAAAATGATTGGATGAGATTTGAGAATGTGTATTCATGAAGTATTTGCAGTCTGTTAATATGGGTAGACAGCTTGATTCCAGAATTGAGTCTGGAGAAGTGTCTTCTGATTCCGATGAGGAATTACCAAAACTGATAAGTGCTACTGAAGCACTGTTCCATCTTACGAAACTCATTCGATTTCAAGAACAGCTTTCCGAGACGTTGTTTAGACCGGATGAATTAATACTTGAACTATATTGGTGGAAAAGACTAAAGTGCAGTCAACGCTTGACTCTTTTATTAGTTAATCTCTTTATGTATATGGTCATAAATTGACTTTGTCTGAATAAATAAAATGAATACAATATTCTTGCCAATTAATATAAACCTCTTTACAAGCATTTAACAATATATTGTATATATATTGAGATTATATAGAGGGCCTCCTCTACAGTCACAGTCACTGGTTTCAGGTGTGACTGTAGAGGGGAAACTTTTTCGACCATTCGGACGATGGCCTCGGAAAGTTGGTGTCCGAATTAAAAGCAGACCCAGGTCGTAAAATCGACTAAAAAATAGATTAGTGCAGGAAGAAACTAATACTTAACGTTCAAGAAATATATCTTTAATATGCCGTTTGTGATCATTGATTCACATCGTTCTAGTCTGTCGATCCTAAAACTTGTATGTGTATAGATGCAACAGATTATTACAAGTTTTTACAAGCTCAACATGAAGGTTACAGCTGAATTTTCGTAGTTTATTAGTTAGTCATGGGAGGGTACCAATCATAGACGTTTGCAAACTGAATTGACATGTAGACGCTATTGCGTTCAAGCTTCTGCGATAACAAGTCAATTGCAAAGTCACACGCACGACAGTTAACAAACGTCCATAATCCTCGAGTATATTGATTGGCTTGGCAGGTGGAGAAACTCCTCTTGGCATAATCACTTTGCGACCGATTTAATATCGACGAGTTCCTAAGATTTCTGCAAATTAATTACTTTCTTCTTTTTCTTTCTCTTTCGTTCGCCTTCTATTCCATCCTTCTTGTAATCTTTGTCCTTCTTCTGCTTATGCTTCCGTTTCTTGTTTGTCAATAGTTGAGATATATACATTCAATAAAACTCAAGTAAACTACAAACACATGTAAAATGATGGCACACCTTTTCTTTGTCCAATGACATTCCTACTATACGTACTGAAGTAGATAGAAAATTGTGGGAGGTGTCAGCAAGTGATGCAATTTTGGTGTGTTTTTTGCATGAAGTGCGCGATCATGCATAATTACGTAATAAGGACAAGTAAAACGCAATAAATTACAAGTAATCGAATCTAAAACTTTGGATGCCAATAGTTGCATGAGTTTAAACAAGAGTGACTTAATAGCGCACTTTGGGATGATTGTGGAGTGTCCGCCATCGAGTCATCATCACCACCCACTTCTTCCAGACCGTACTTTGTTGCGTCAAACTACAATTCCATTGTTAATTTTCCAGGAGAGGTTAAAGAGATAGTATGTTGGTTGATAAACATCGTTTACAGCTGTATTTATAGGTAATTACTTACACCTGGTAGAGGTCCTGGCCTTAACTTTCCAAGTTCCGTACGCACTTTTGCGACGTCTATTTGCGGTAATTCTGATAACTGTATCGGCTCATTGTATAGACGTGCGCGCAGGGAACTATCTCGCATTGGTTGGGGCTTTCCTAATAGAATATATTAGGGTTAGCTGACTGTATTGCGACTAACGTGTTTATACTCTTTCTTTGGTGCCCTTACCAGGCATATGTATCATAACGTACAGGCCAGAGAGCTACCTTAATGAATGAGTCGAAGTAAATGGATGCTTCTTGTTAACAACACCTTTAACTTGCGTAATACGGGCGCTTTTAAATTAACAGTAATAGTAATAGTAAGAGTGTAAAAAGTTAAAGTATGTATGTGTATTAAAAGATATCAAATCAAGTGTCTCAAAGCAGGACCAATCATTCTTTAAATTTACAATTCCGAATGCGTCACCTCGGTCTGGCGCTCAAATTCTCTGGACTCTACGACGGATAGGATCCCGAATACTCAAGCTTCTAAATAATGCGGGTATAAGGAATCTTTCGGACTTGTGTTTCTTTTACACTCGGCGGATGCACAAGGAAATTGCAATAGAGCATTCCGCCTTCGAATATTAATACGAGACATGTTCTTCTTAACATTAAGTGCAAGACTATTCTCTGTAGAGGATGACAAGAAATAATACCTATACTCGAAATCGTTAACGGTAGAATACGAAGCATACGCAAATAAAATGGAACGCACCAAATCTACAGTCTCCAGATAGTCTTTCAGAAGATAGTTTCACTTTTGTCTAGGCTGCGTGCGCATTATTGACCAGTACAGTTAACCTACCCTAAAGGGGAGGTGCTGACTTCATAATGGTAAACACCCAATACTACAGTAATTGTCGGTATGTATATGTTAAAAATGATCACCCTTTATTATTATGTCTACTTGTTAAGTCTCTCATCTTTATATTAATAATAACTATTGAGACTTTTGCTGTCTTAGTAATTGCAACAGGCTATATTAATGTTTGGCGATCCACACCTTGATTTTGATAACATTAAACAGATTTCCACGTTTCAGGTTGAGCATTTATTATTAGATCAAAGTTTGCTAGCACGTATTGTATTATGTTTGGAAGTATGGTATAACTTTATGCCAAGTACTAATCCTGTTAAGAGATAGTTTAAGTAGGAACAATGTGTGTCTCTTTACTTTGGCATAATAGAAAGCATCTTGGAAACCTGTATTTATTTCACAATTGTTTACGAGTTCATAATATGTTGAACTAAAGAAGCTATCAAACATTCGAGTAACGAATAATTTCAAAACCAGGTGAGACTTCCAAGTCAAGCCTGTCTTTTCTGTATACGGATGACAAAGCCTCATTGGTCAACAAATCCATTATAACTTTTAATTTACTTGCCATAATAATAACTATCATGGTCAGGATGTCTGCTCTCATTAAATTCCAGGTCATTAAGCAGATTTAGATAAGCAGAAGCAGCCTTATCCCGTAAAGAAAAAGATTCCATCACATTATAAACGTAAGCTTGCAACTGAAGCACTTTGAGGGCTTCGGTAATTGAACATAGGCGAGAAAAACCTGTAGTTGAATTAATATATCGTTGACTCGTATTCATTGTGTGAAAGCAGTGCCGATACACGCAAAGTATATAATATATACCTGTAAGAGCTGCTTCCAAGAACGGAACAGTATCGTTGAGACTATTCGTAGGTATTCTTCCAGCTGCTTAATTATTATTAGAATTTAATTGTTGGTTGATAGGTAAAGAACAGGATCAACGTAAATATTACGCACCCCGTTGATCCTCAGTAATGCTTGCGATAATGCATTCAGCGTATACCAACTGTCCAACTGATTGTAAACGCAAAGAATGCTCTGCAAGCAGCTAAAAAATAAGCCGAAGTTTGTACGTAAATACATTAAGAAAATGGATAAAGACTTGATATATCAGCTCTTACTTCTGGCATAATCTTCTCTATCATGCCAATAGATCTAGTAGCCAGGTTGAAACCCAAAAGGATCTCAGCAAGTCGAATAATGGCCATTAAGTAACTACTACGATAATGAAATCGTTCACTTAAGCAGAGAGAAGATAACACGTATGGAAGCGCCGATGTTTGGTGAGTTGACATCTAATTGAGTGACAACTATTGTTAGCAGACGCTTCGAAACATCTCAGCACATATTGTCTATATAGTATGTACCATCCTGATTTCAGCCAATTTCAGCAAATAATTGGCAACGTTCATTTGATTTGTTGACCGAAGACGACTGCTCTGTTCTATTAAAGAATGTAACAACTCAACTGCCTTCCATTCAGTCATTTGGTAAGCGGGTCAATTAAGTATGTGTCATCAACCTTGAACTGCTTACTACCATGTCGTTCTCTTTAACGATACTGCTCCTGCGACCGATATTTTCTTACCATGTCTTCTCTATTGCTCTTGGCTAGATGAGATGCTCTTTGGTATTCGAAATCGGCAGCTACTATTGGATCGTATTGGCAGGCTGCACGTAATTGGGTCTCTAATGCTTCGATGTTATGGAACTCGCAGCTGAACGCATGTTATGAGCACTAAATGATAACTTAATAATTACAACTTAATTATCACTTCTTGCCATTCCTTACCTCTCTAGACTTTTGGTGTATTTTATTCTTCCAAGAGAGGATATCCATTGAGATGCTGCTCGACGTATATCAATAAAAATATCGATAGAGTCCATAAACAGTCTTATTGCCTCTGTATAATTTCCATTTAACATATGCTGATATAGTAAAATGATCGTGAGTTATGAAATGATTAATGAGAGTGAAAATGACGGCGCTGTATCAAATCATTCGTTACATGTTCGGCTATTTGGCAATATGCAATGACACTATCTTCTGGATTTGGACGTTTCTTTGTTATTATTTGAGAAGAGTATAAAGTGGACAATCCATTGTTACCTATTAGATATTGTTGTTAGCATCCACTTGTATTTCCAATGAAAACATTGAGTTTATAGTCACCATAAATGTCCCAGACACTAGCCAACAGAAGATGAGATTGCTCGTTCACAGCGCAAGGTGCACTTAGATTCAATGAAGAGCTCTTCAGGAGAGACTCGAAGACATCGGTGGGCGATTCACCCTATAGTTATCCATGACAAATAATCAGACGATATGAGTTGATAGTTGACATCGATTTAATCTCATATAGTATTATCTAATGATTGCCTGTTGAAGCTTTTTTGCTGCTTTTCCCAGTTCGCCCAGCGACTGTAAGCTGGTGAAATTTGCCTCCTTAGCTTTGTCAATCATTGAATCTAGCATTTGCTGTTCCGTCGCACCAAGACGTATTGATTCGGCGTATTCGTACGATTTAAGATGATACAACCAGCTAACAGTATAATATATGAATAGTATTAAGCATAAAAGTGATATATGTAATGTATCGCACCTAGCGATGAAATCAATGTCACTAACAAATACCTTAGAGCAAATCGAAGACATTCTTGATCGTTACTTTCACGCGCCATTCTTATAGTTTCTGATATTGCCTATAGGTGGGTATTAATTAATAAAGAAAACGATGCATGCATACCTACGGTTACTAAATTCAAATACCGTACCAACAATGCTTGTTCCTTGTGTCCAAACTTAGCATGCAGTTTTACGAGATTCAATAATACATGCTGATACCACGATTTACTAAAAGAAAGCACAGTGATGATAATATATTTATTGTATTCAACGAACCCCATTTCATACCTGTATCCTTCATCCACTGGACAAAAGTTAGAGAAATTGTAGAAATTACGTAAAGCACCTTCATATTCTCCCGATTGCATACAGTCTATATATCTAACCATCAGAGGTCAAATTAACACTCTGCAGCCTAAGTAGAAATCATAATGCAATATAACTTACTCTATATAATATATAGTAGATATCTCGGGAAGTCTTTTGTGAATCATTCGTATTTTATTCTCAAGATGAGGAGGTAATATTCCTCCATATACTTCATGTTTAAGTCAAAAGTAGCTATTAGTCCAACAATTCATGAAGAAGTTAGTCATAACCATTAGGCCGTACTCACACTGTAGTTGAGTTATTACATACACAGCAAACTTCTCTGCATCATTTTTAGAAATAATCTCTAACAAAGACACAAATAAAATTACGCTTAAATCGGAGACGTGCGAAATGAAATACAGACAAATTTGGCACACTACCTTGTTTATGCATCGTATACTCTTTTGCCATGTGAGATAAAGTATACACACTTCTGTCAGGCTCAAGTGAAAGACATGATAATTTGTATTCTACAAACGCATTCCAAATAAGTGAAATCTCAGCAAAAGACAAGCGCAAACATTCAATATGGCATCGACGCACGAAGATGCCAAATAGGCTGTAACGAGACTGTTGATGATTGGCAAATTAAGTAGCTGGACTCAAAATTTAACATAAAAGACTTTATTAAGTACGTCTTACCAGTCCTTTCCCCTGTATGATGAGAGCACATGATATTAAGTAAATATATTGAGTAATGTGAATCAACAGAACGCGTGTATTCTAAACCTCGTCTTTAAGTTCATTTCTTGTTAACAGGGTTCCCGTATCTTAATACAATTAGTACAAGTTAGAGAATTTATACAATCCGGTAGGATATATCTAACTGCAAAGACTTACGTTGTATATACTCGATAAATTCATGCGGTGTCTCGAGATCTCTTAACTGTAATAATCACATCAAACAGAGATCCTGACCTCAATATTTGAACACATTGAGAGACTGTCAATTATCTGTATGATCACCTTATCGAAGAGGGTCATTTTTATCGATTTTCCATTAATACTATCGCTTTCTTCCATTCTTGCACAAAGCTCAGGCAGTGTTGGCTCCGGATAGCTATAATCATCCTATCATCCAATTTTCGTTTATTCATTAAATCCTTTATTATGTCTTTAAAATTAAGCGTTGCACTTGAATAACATATTCATTGTTAAGAAACTCACACAAACGCTCAACCTATCAATTAGGAAATATAATAATGGCACTTCAAAGTCTTCATTCCCTTGATCACAATAAGCATCGATTAATGCTAGTAGGCATATTTTGTAAGGTGTTAAGAAATTAGTCTTAAACAGGTATCGTGTCTTTTCGCGAGACCAGCGTGTTGATGGCTCAATGTATAATCTGTTCGTATCATCGTTTAACCAATCCCAATCGTCTAACGGGGAGCCATCGTCCATACTGCAAAGCATGCGAACAACTCGTAATAGTAAGTGAGTAAAAGTGAAGAGATCGCGTGGTTTAACGTCACGCAAGCTTCGATTTATTATTGGACAGCGTTGGTACGACTATACCCGCTAAAGCTAGTTTAAACATGTAATATTAATATAGAGGTGTAATAAAAATACTATGGTTTAGTCTAGCCAAGGTTGAGATGAAGTGATTAGTGAGTTATCAGAGGATAGGAGAAGACCAAAAGCAAAGTCTGTCCATATGGTCCATATTAATATGGCAGCAGATTGGAGAGTCTTGCAGAAAATTTAAACCGTTAGAGTTAAAGATAGATGATGATTAAATGAAAACAATTGCAGATACAAATGAGTTGGGCATGAGGGCACGTATTTGTTGTTGAGAGCACCATAGACAAAAAGATGAGGAAGGGGAGAAACCATCTTTCAATTACAGCTTTAATTCTACGAGGCATGCTTTCTACTAAATTTCTAAGTATTTTGAATCTAGTTTAAACCATTCTTCCTTCACCACAACAGTTAGTTCATACGTGTTTTTTGATGGAGACTCTCGCTGACAAATTCCTCTTTCTAATTGATCCCAAACATGCTCAATTGGGGCCATGGAAATGACATTATCATATTTTCGTCTTTCCATTTGACTACATTTTTTGCTGTATGGATTATCTTCTTGAAAAATATATAGATTACTCATAGGAGACAATAGATTTGTTTTCTAAAACTTTTATATAGCCATCTGCACCAATGGTTATTAACCCCATAACATTATGTCATCACCTCCGACTTTTCCTTCAAGTCTGATTAAAGGACCTAAAGAATCCCATGTAAAGCAGCCCCAGACCATTACTCCACCACCGCCATGCTTGACTGTAGGAACAACACACAGTCAATGTTATATCCTTCTTTCGGAAGTCTCCACACACGGGGCTTTGCCGTCATTTCAAACAGAGTAAAGCGAGATTCATTACTCCATATTACTTTTTTCCAATCGTCTACAGTCCATTCTCGATGTTCTCGACACCACTGTACTCGATCTTTCTTGTTTTTCGGGGAAATAAGTGGGTTTCGAGCAGCAACTCAATTATTATACCCCGATTCATACAAAGCTTGTTTTACTCTAACAGCAGCTCCAGTCGATTGGACAAGTTTGTATGAATTTGTTTAATAGTCTGCCGGCGATTGGTTCGAACAACTATTTCAAGATGTCGCTTATCTCTGTCTGTCAGTATTGGTCTCAATTTCTCGTTCTGAGTAACCAAATAGATACCCTCCTATAAGAAGACCACGTTCAAACTCAGTAAGCTCTTGTCGTTCAGTCATTTTCCACTAAAAAATCTAAGTGTATAGACTGAATAATGTTTGCGGCTTAGATGTAGATTGCATTACGGTTATCACATGCATGGAATTTGTGATTTGCGGAACATTGTCAACAATGGTTAAAGGTGCAGATAAAATAAAAATAAACTTGGCTCTAGTTTCTCAACAACAAAGCAAGCTATCCGGTTAACCTTATGAATGTAAAATGTGTGTATATTTATTAAACTTTTTCGGTAACACAAAACGTTAGTTATTATTATATACAAATTTTATCATATTACACAGGCAAACTCGATAAGTCGGTCTCTCGATGATTCAATTTTGGCCTAAGAAGGCCAAAACTTCCCAAGTCCTTTTCTCAGTTTTAATATTTAAAATCTCTCGATAAGTCGGTTCTCTCGATAAGTCGGTCCATCATGCATGACCGACTTATCGAGTTTGCCTGTGTACTAGCTGACACACTACAATTTTTTGTAAATATGGTTTACACTAGATGAGCTAACTTCAGTGTTAGTTTCACGGTAATTGCATTGCTCGTTATGTCAATATTTGCATTTTATTGCAATTTAAGGGATGTCGGCGACTATCGAATAGTACCCTAGATTCAAAATCCGATTTCTCAACGAGAAAGCAAGATATTCGGGTAATATTTTATAAATACAATAGCGTTTTTTTTTGCACTTTAAATGAGTATAACTGAGTGTAAATTAATATGTGGGTTAATTTTTATCGATTTTTTAAATATTCGTGTCGCATAATAATAACCCTTTTCGTAGGATAAAGATCGGCTCTAGGTAAATTCGTAATTTTACTATCTAATGTACACAGTGAAGGTCGATATAACGGTTCGTTGATATAACGGATTTCGCTTAATACGGTTTTTTTTTTTCTTGGAACCAAAGTTTTACTAATTAAATATAGCGGATTTTACTATTAAATTGCTGTAGTAGTAGTGCGGTTCCGGATTTTTTTTCGATGAACGGAGTTTAGTGATGCATTGTTCAATATAACGGAATTATAACGGAGTCCGCTATAGTTCATACCGTACTAAATATAAAGTGGCCAAATATCCGTTGTAGATCCGTACTACAGTCAAAGCTGGCTATAACGAACTTTGGTTATAACGAAGATCTGTTTATAACGAAGATTTTCTCCAAGCAAATC